TGCACTGGAGAGAAGGAGTATGAACAGCATGAACAGGAAAAGAAGTTGAAGGAGTATGTCGGAAGACGAACTCGGATCCCACAAAGGAAGCGCCATGGACAGCACAGGCATGGATGCGAGGAAGTTCAGTATGTTCGAAGTGGGAATGGTCGTAGTAGTGATGCTTCTAGCAATACCGTATGTACCGAATGCGTATCACCGGATCACACGCCTCTGTGTTCGGATGTCGAACCTAGGGATGGTTCGGATCCACACCGGATCAAAGAACCACGTTTTCCATAAGGAAAGCTGCCACCATGTACAAGGCGAAGCGCGTAGTGGCAAATTTCTCATGATGGATAAGGAGGAAGCCCTATCCCAAGGGTACAGGCACTGTTTTGTTTGTTGGCCTGAGGCAAAGCAACTGCAGACCGGAAGCAGTAGACGCGGAAAGTCGAGGACAGAATCCCGGAGCGAAGAAAGTGATGACTGGGAAGTCATGGAGCCAGAACATGTATCAACCAACCATTGCAGGGAGATGTGTTCCCGGTGCAAGGAGAAAGGTTGTGCAAGGAAGAAGGTTGGACACGCGTGGTGCGCGTGTGCAGAATGCATCAGAGACTATGCAACGAGTCAAGGGAAGAATACCTATGACAGGGTTGATGCTGGAAGAAGTTCCGAAGTATCTTCAACGAAAGAGGATCACAGTTGGAGGACTGAGACAACAGGTCTACGACGAAGGCCGGTAGACCGGGATGTCGGAGGAAACGGAGTGATGCTGGATCCCCCGCGAAGACGAGGATCAGCACGGAGACGTGGACTGGCAGCCGGAAGTATTGGACCAGGAACCACAATGATGGAGAACACCGGAACGGAAGATGGCAACACAGGTGGAACAAGAATGCCTATCATAAGTGAAGAAGATTACCGCACAGGAGGAAGAGTGGTATCTGGACAGGAAGAAGACCAGATCGAGTATCAAGGAAGAACACTGAGCCTTGAGGACATGGGCCGCATGGTAATGCAGGAAGTCTGTCAGCAGAGTTACGAGGACTTCTGCGAGGAGAGAGCAGCCAGACAGGCTGGAGAAGCCCCGGAACGCCAGACAGCACCGAGCTCAGGAGAGAAGGACCAAGCTCAGGACAGTGAGTGTGGTCGAAAAGGAAATCCGTAAGCCCTACTATGACGAGAACGTCAATGGCAACCAGAAGCGAGTGTAGGCCGGAAAAGTTTCACCAAGAACGAACCAACAACAGCTCGTGAAGAAACGAGCGCAAAGTGTTTCACTAAATGGCGAAGGTCTTGTTACTGTACGAGCAATGTCAGATCAAGTACGGTCCGACAAACCCCGGAAGTGGGGGAGGTAAAAGGAGGGTTGCACGGAATGTTTCAACCCATAGAGCTGGAAAGGCGAAGCCTTGGAAGCTCACGATTGGGCAGGTGGTTTGCCAGACCGTTGGTGGACCGTGTTTGTGCGAAAGTACAGCACAAGAACTTCGAGGCAGGGTGTTAAGTTTTCTGTATAGGACGCCCACACCTTTGGAGAGCCTAGGCTACGGTATATAGTTTGTATAGTTTGACCGTCAAGCGCCTTTGGCTTAAGCAGAGAAAAGCGTGCTTACAGTTTAACTTAATCACTGGAGCCCTTTTGCAAAGGAAAATCTGGAAAGATTGCTGCAAGATCATGATTGGGTTGTGAGCCCCTTACCTCATGTACGAGAGGAGTACACACTTTCAAACGGGACTGAGCACTGTCGGATGGATTCTGGCGACCTTGTGTATGAAAAGGATGAAGTTGGTGATGATGATGATAACGAAAAGTGTGTGCACCCGGCTCACAGCTCAGCGGTGCGCTCACATTTATGAGATGGAAGTTTTGTACCACGTATGCCAGACCGAAGGAATGGCATACGAAAAACAAGATGAGATGATCCGCCAGGGGTAAGGTTTCTGCCCTTTGCTACGCCAGACACAAAGGAATGGCGTAGCATGAAATGAGATGAAAGATGAATTGAAGATGAGGGTCCCGCCAGCTGCCCGCGACGGGGCCCAGGCGGGTACGCTACCTGGGGTGTGGGGGGAGCTTCGTTGGGCGGAGCACCCCCACATCCCCTCCGCCCCCCTGCAACTGAACACGTATAACGTTGTTGGGTTGTGAGCCCCTTACCTCATGTACGAGAGGAGTCCACACACACACAGCCCCATGTTGGGGCGCTTCGATGTGTCCCTGTTGTGCCGCGGCAGGGCAATCCAAACTACACGGACCCAACAGGCCCAACACTAAACCAAAAGCCCTGGGGCTGCAATGCCCGAAAGATGAGCTTGGCGACGAAGACCATAAGGTGCCAATGTTGTGGTAGTCCACGTTGTAGTGAGGCTTCTACAGTGTGGGCACGTGACTGTCCTTCAGCTGGGCAAACAAGCCCCCAGATGCGACAGAGGGGGAAGGAAGGCTGATCAGCTGCCTTTGCGAGGGCCCAGATCCAGCCAGGGACTGTCCCTCAGCTGCGCGAGTGCAAAGGCGACAGTTATGATGGTTAAAAGGAGACTGTTACCCAGCTACCCTCGAAGGGGTCCAGGGCTAGCAGCATTTGACCCATGTATTGTACTTGTGATTGTATGTTGTAATAAGGGTGGAAAGTTTAAGGTGAGGACACTCCTTCCAGCTGCCGGCAAAGACCCAGGAACGGAGTGACTACTGCAAGGAAAGCGCAGAAATCCGAACCGACATCGTGCAGTCACAGTGCATTAGACCTTTACTGCAGAACGCTTTACCGCAATAGACCTCATGTCAGATGCATTAGGTTGGAGTGAAAGAATAGGAATAGGCGGGACAGACTAGCAAGCGGAGGTAGCGGCGCGCACACAGACCACTCTAGTGTTGCCAGATGCATATGCCGTCCTGTGCAGACACTCATGATTCCTCGTGCAAGGAGGAATGGGGTTCGAAGCAGCCGTCGTTCGAACCTGGGGCCTCACTCGGGGGTCCAATACCTTATAGTGAACGGAGCTGAACGGGAGAGAAAGAGAATACCCACCCCGGAGGGTGCATGAACTGTCCCCTTTAGCAAGGGCTGCCTGCAATGCAGGTCACGCCAAGGGCGTCACGGCGCCGTAACGGAAGCCGCTGGATCACACTTTCAAACGGGACTGAGCACTGTCGGATGGATTCTGGCGACCTTGTGTATGAAAAGGATGAAGATGGTGATGATGATGATAACGAAAAGTGTGTGCACCCGGCTCACAGCTCCGCGGTGCGCTCACATTTATGAGATGGAAGTTTTGTACCACGTATGCCAGACCGAAAGGAATGGCATACGAAAAACAAGATGAGATGATCCGCCAGGGGTAAGGTTTCTGCCCCTTGCTACGCCAGACACAAAGGAATGGCGTAGCATGAAATGAGATGAAAGATGAATTGAAGATGAGGGTCCCGCCAGCTGCCCGCGACGGGCCCAGGCGGGTACGTTACCTGGGGTGTGGGGGGGGGGCTTCGTTGGGCGGAGCACCCCCGCACCCCCTCCGCCCCCCTGCAACTGAACACATAAAACGTTGTTGGGTTGTGAGCCCCTTACCTCATGTACGAGAGGAGTCCACACACACACAGCCCCATGTTGGGGCGCTTCGATGTGTCCCTGTTGTGCCGCGGCAGGGCAATCCAAACTACACGGACCCAACAGGCCCAACACTAAACCAAAAGCCCTGGGGCTGCAATGCCCGAAAGATGAGCTTGGCGACGAAGACCATAAGGTGCCAATGTTGTGGTAGTCCACGTTGTAGTGAGGCTTCTACAGTGTGGGCTCGTGACTGTCCTTCAGCTGGGCAAACAAGCCCCCTGAAGCGACAGAGGGGGAAGGAAGGCTGATCAGCTGCCTTTGCGAGGGCCCAGATCCAGCCAGGGACTGTCCCTCAGCTGCGCGAGTGCAAAGGCGACAGTTATGATGGTTAAAAGGAGACTGCTACCCAGCTACCCTCGAAGGGGTCCAGGGCTAGCAGCATTTGACCCATGTATTGTACTTGTGATTGTATGTTGTAATAAGGGTGGAAAGTTTAAGGTGAGGACACTCCTTCCAGCTGCCGGCAAAGACCCAGGAACGGAGTGACTACTGCAAGGAAAGCGCAGAAATCCGAACCGACATCGTGCAGTCACAGTGCATTAGACCTTTACTGCAAAACGCTTTACCGCAATAGACCTCATGTCAGTTGCATATGCCCTCCTGCTCAAAGGCGTAATAGGTTGGAGTGAAAGAATAGGAATAGGCGGGACAGACTAGCAAGCGGAGGTAGCGGCGCGCACACAGACCACTCTAGTGTTACCAGATGCATATGCCGTCCTGTGCAGACACTCATGATTCCTCGTGCAAGGAGGAATGGGGTTCGAAGCAGCCGTCGTTCGAACCTGGGGCCTCACTCGGGGGTCCAATACCTTATAGTGAACGGAGCTGAACGGGAGAGAAAGAGAATACCCACCCCGGAGGGTGCATGAACTGTCCCCTTTAGCAAGGGCTGCCTGCAATGCAGGTCACGCCAAGGGCGTCACGGCGCCGTAACGGAAGCCGCTGGATCACACTTTCAAACGGGACTGAGCACTGTCGGATGGATTCTGGCGACCTTGTGTATGAAAAGGATGAAGTTGGTGATGATGATGATGATAACGAAAAGTGTGTGCACCCGGCTCACAGCTCAGCGGTGTGCTCACATTTATGAGATGGAAGTTTTGTACCACGTATGCCAGACCGAAGGAATGGCATACGAAGAACAAGATGAGATGATCCGCCAGGGGTAAGGTTTCTGCCCCTTGCTACGCCAGACACAAAGGAATGGCGTAGCATGAAATGAGATGAAAGATGAATGAAGATGAGGGTCCCGCCAGCTGCCCGCGACGGGGCCCAGGCGCAGACTAATGCAGGTACGTTACCTGGGGTGTGTGGGGAGCTTCGTTGGGCGGAGCACCCCCACACCCCTCCGCCCCCCTGCAAATGAACACATATAACGTTGTACTGTTGTGAGCCCCTTACCTCATGTACGAGAGGAGTCCACGCACGCACACACACACACACACACACACACACACACACACACACACACACACACACACACACACACACACACACACACACACACCACACACACACACACACACACACACACACACACACACACACAACCACACACACACACACCCACACCCACCCACACACACCCACGCACCCACACACCCACGCACACCCACGCACACCACCCACGCACCCACGCACCCACGCACCCACGCACCCACGCACCCACGCACCCACGCACCCACGCACCCACGCACCCACGCACCCACCCACCCACGCACCCACGCACCCACGCACCCCACCCACGCACCCACGCACCCCACCCCACCACCCCACCCCACCCACCCACCCACCCCCACCCACCCCCACCCCCCACCCCCACCCACCCACCCCACCCACCCCCACCCACCCCCACCCACACCCACCCACCCACCCACCGACACACACACACACACACACACACACGGTTACAATCGAGAATTGTACGACATTCTGTTCACTGCCACGGCCTTGCACTTAGTGAGGTGCCAGGAAATTGCAGATCCCGTCGGTCTCCTGTGCTTGGGAAGAAAGCCAGAAGCCTTTCACTTCTGTGTTCATATGTTGGTCTTGAAGAGGTAGGCGAGATGTGGACTGGTTTGTTGTTTCCAAATCTTGGTACAAAACAAAAACCGGGATTCATTGAAGCATTTCGGCATACGTCCGTCTGAGGCAGCAACATGTGGCGAAACATCTCAGTCGCTCTGTCACGACGGCTCGATGGGGCAACGAAATGTTGTTGGTGTTGCTTGATGCTTGTTGCGGGTTGGTTCATTCGGCACATTCGCCGGCTGTCTGAAGCCTCTGGCTAATGTAATTTTACAGGATCCACGTGCTGGGTTGCCGCTTATAATTTCACCAGTCGATCTTGCGGTGCGATCCTGTCGCATCCTGCAGGGAGATATCAACTACACATTCGACAAGTTGGAGTGCGGAAACTTTGTGGCCACCGTCAGCTTCGGGGATGTCCAGCTGCAGCCCTGCACGGGGCTTCCCCAAGGAAAGAAGGCCTGAGAGCCCAAGATGTGAAAGCATGGCCTGCCTGCAGTGATGAGAAGAGCTCTTTGCAGTAAAGCTTTATTTGAGAGGTTTCTTGTCGCCATAGCAAAACAAGACAAAGCTTCTGTCAGGGCAAACACGTGTTTCTCGGCGTTTGTGTACCATTGGTGGACAAGGACAAACACAGCGTGGTGGCTTCCGTCGGCCCAATGTGACATGTCGTGGGTGTGCACGAGAAAAACATCAGCAGATCGTTTTCAGTGTCCACGAGCCAATCCTTCCCTGGAGACCCACGCCACAGTCAGCACACAGGCACCCTTTGAATACTCTTCCGCAAGTCATTTGCAGTGTGTCGGGATGTTGGGGCGGTTCAACAGGAGGACATCCCGCTTCGATAGAGGACGTTATAGGACGTCCAAAAGAGGTGTTGCGACCTATGTGCCGAGCTGCGCACACAAGCTCACTGCTGCCATCTAGATCCTTACTTATATAGTCTTTTGCATAAGTTCAAGATGGATGACACCATAAAGCGCGAGCAGCAGGCAATATTGTGTCCCTGGCTGTCTTAATGCTGATCTTGGCACAGCGGCTCCGGGTGCGACAGGCATTGGCAAAGAAGTCAGCGGCGGAGGAGGCCCTCGCACAGTTCGAAGCCGCCAACTGGACATGGAAGAATACCGCCAAGGCTGCCATTCTTGAACATGTATCGCACGCTATTCTTCCGTCATGCTAGCAGGTGAGACTTTGGCAGCAGAAAATTACGCTTTAGCAGACTGCTTTCATTCGGTGCATCTGCCAGAATGTCTGGCATCCGCTAGGCCAACTCCAAGCCGGATCGGAAGGAGAGCATGGGCGACCGGGCTTTGCCAGAGCATCTGACAACTCTGGCTTCTGCTAATGTGTTAAATGATGCGATGTAAACAAAGTTCTGGTCAGCTGTAGGCGGAATGGCTATCAGAGACTGTGCTCAAGCTTTGCCACGCCCATGCCCCGATGACGGTCAAGGTTTTCTTCGGCAAGTCCAGTCCACGACTATGCCGGAGGCTGGGGTGCATCAAGCCACTGGTATTCTCTGCAATGCACTTTGCAAGGCTAAGGCGAAGAAGCACAACAAGCTGGGGCCGAGCCATGCGCGAGGCCAGTTTGGTTTGTGCTGAACTCTGAAGCATGTTTTGCTTGGCTCCCAAGGCCAGTTTGGCAATGTCTTACCGGACGGCAAGAAGCGGGTCCGGGAACAAGTCGTTGTGCCTTGTAGACGCTTTCTTGGCTGCACGTACATTCATGCCGTGAGGAGCTTGATGACAATGCGCCTGACAGCACGTTGCCACGGAACCAGGCATTGCTCTTGAATCTGCGAATCTGCGAGATAGCTTGCCATGCTGAAAAACCGCAGGCGATGGTTCAGTGCACTGCGTCTGAGGCGGACAATCCAATAGGCAAGGTCTCACCTGCTTGCCATGATGTTGACGACCATGTGCGCGACAAGAGCGGCTCGTGACAATTTTCACATGTCTGGAGGCAGAATCAATGAAATCATGGCCTCCATTCTTCGGCGGCCGCTTTCTAAGGAGGACGAATCTTGGAACCGGAATTACGTTGTGCCGTCCCGGCCATTTCCAAGACAGGCTGGTCCGTCTCGCGCGTGCATTTGACATGTACACTTGTCACATCATTAATCCTTGAGGCACGTGGTTGCTCGCAAGCTGTATTGATTCATCGCCTTGTATCGCTATTTATGTGCACTTCTCATTTGCAACGGTCTGGCTGCAACACACATTCTTTCTCTTCAGTGTGGAAAGGATGCAGAATCAAGTTCCGTGCTTAATTCTGTATAGGTTCCTTGCTTCTTGCATCTTCTTGCATTCACCATGCTTACATCATGCCTCTGTGGAACTCGTCAAAGCCTTGTCTTCTTGTTGGCGGTCCGAAGCGCAGCAAGAAAAAGGTTATGATTGCAGGATGTATTGTGTTGCATGCAAGACTGTTATTTCGTCGTTTGTTTTGTATGGCGCAGCAAGTAGGTAGCCAATCAGCGGCAGGCCGAACAAGAAGCAGCAAGCCAGACCTTCCTCCGCTGAATCCGTCCCCAAACGTGCTGTCCACGTTGCCCTTGCCCGCAATGCTTGCATTGATTGGTTCGTGATTTGGCAGCTGAGGTGCAGTACACATTCTCGGAACGGGATTCCACGTTTACTTGTGCCGCAACTTGATCGCGCATGCAGACAGCATCTTGCAGCGGCATCAACTGGCAGGGCGTGTGTGGCATCAGGGGTTATGAAAGCTCCAGGTTACGATTGCTTCAGATGACCTCCTCTTGGAAGCATCTGGCGAGCCGGCAACGACAAAGCGACAGGCCGTTTCGGCTCCCAACCGCAGTGTACAAGATCTTTTCAATTTGTATCATGACGAGTGGGCGGGGTTGAAGGCTAGTTTTCGAGTGTAGTACACTTGTGTACGAAGTGACAACGAAAAGCTTCGCCCTGTCGACTGATCGGCTGCTTGGATCTGAACATGTCGATGTCAGCATTCGTTGTACCTCGTGGCCATTTTGGCTCAAGAGTCTTGTTTTTTCTTTCATTGCGGTTACACTGCGATTCCGCCATGGCACTCGCTGGATTCATGGTTTTCCTTCTGGTGTGAAGGATCCATCGACCCGAAGAAGCCGAGGTGACAGCGAGCATGCCGTTGAAGAAACATCGGTTGGAGGTGTGCTGACAGTTCGTCGATGCTAAGTGAGAGCTGCGACATCCGGTTTTACTGCCATCACTTACCCGGATTTTGTCTGCGAACGTAGGTCTGCGTTGCATCTGCTCTGCCGAAAGTGTGTGCACTTTTTGCCATCACTCTTGGAACAAACCCCGGAGCACCTGCGACGCTGCGATGCGGGAAGCTTTCGACCTCAAAGGCGACTTCAGGGACATACTCGCGTTCCTGTTGCAGACGGCAGTGAGGATGGAGCAACCATCCGACAAATCTCCCGCGATGAAGCATGCCGGTTCATCCTCAAGACGATGGCAGAGTTTTGACGACAGAAGATGCGATCCTTCCTGAGGGGTGCCAAACCCACGTTCTACTATGATTACAGTATACTTGGGCCAACAGCGAAAACACCGAGCGGGTGCAAGGACAGAGGGGCAAGGCGCGATGTTGATCCCGCCGATGGTCACTTGGGCCAACTCACCAGCACGTCAACGAGCTTCCTTTGCCCAGACCGTCAATGTGAGCCCGGAGACAGATTCTGACCCCACGAGCCTACAGTGGCTCCAGCGCCACCGCCTTTTTACCCCACCCGGGACGACAACGATTTGGCAGGACTTCGACCCCCTGGCGGCGATGCGGCCTTGATGCTGAAGGCGTTTGGGCGTGAACACGGTTGTGACGCTGAACGGGGCCGGACGTGACACCGTCACACTGCACAGGGTTTTCTGTGACACTACACTTGTCCTTCGGACGTCGATGATGGCGATGACAATTTCGAAGATGATCTTTTGGGTTCTGTCTTGTGTGTGATGTGGCTACAAGACAGTCAAAAACCCTCACGAAAAGGCGAGCAGTACGTCGTTCAGGCAAGCGTCCAATATGGCTAGCTGACTTCATACCAGCAAGCCGCCCTTCTCGTTTCCGTCGTTGTCTCAGTAGTTGCGGGGTTTTAGATAGGACCTCGGCTGGTTTATTTATGTGCTTCACTCCGTGAAAGTAACTCTTTCAGCGTGGAGTCAGCAACTCGGAGGAGTTGCGAATGCTGACAAAGCAGCCCAAGGGCATCACCGGAGCCCGGCCCCGGGCATCAGCCGGTGTGTGCTGAAATATTGTGCTGAAATATGCGCGCGACGACGTGGCCCCGCAATTGCATTGCCAGTAGCATCTTCTTGTGGCACTGGATAAAGGATGGATGCTAAAGATCCGATCGCGGTTTCAATGAATGGAGCTTCAGCTCCGTGCTCCCTGCAGTTCCAGCTCCGGGCAACAGTTCCCGCCTTGGTTCCGGTCGCTGCTGGAAAGGAAAAGCGCCCAGGACCGAGGAGCGAAGACGTTCCCCCTGGATTAATTTACTTCTCGTTGCTACTCGATCCATCGCCAAACCGGACGTCGAGTAGCTCTCCTGGTCACTCGTCGTCTTGCTCCGGGTAGGCGTCGGATATCATCTTGTGCTTCTCAGCTCCTGCTGAGCCTGCACCGCTAAAGCTACCTGCAAATCAGCTGCCGCTGTGTGTTGTCCGTAAAGGCTTCCGCAAATTGTCTCGAGGTCCCACCAGTTCACGAGTTGGACGCTGGTGACATGTCTGTGCCTGGGAAGAGAGAGCTGTTCTCGTGACCCGCCAGGCCGACAAGGTGTCTTCGCAGCGTGCGAAAGGGCCAGAGCTGCGGGGCCTTCGTGGAGTGATGACAACATGTCTGCCTTTGCACGGCAGAGGCCGCCCGGAGCATGTGATCTCGGTACAAGTCCAGGCTGTTTCATCATCTGTTTCATCATCACCGAGGCTGCCGCCTCGGTACCCCTCAACATCCAGGAGCCGACGTTTGTTTGGGTGGCCGCTCCGGTTGTACCTGCAGCATGGGCATTCTTCAGCATCGTCATTCTAGGGTCGCCGATGTCCATGTTGTAAGCCAAGGGGCTTATGACAAGCCCAACACCATCTCATCGTGTCCCGTGAGCTAGCGGGCGGAGGCCCGCGTTTCCAAAAGCGATGTCCGGATCCCGCCGGTTCGGTCACAGAGCTGATTCTGCCACGGAACATGGGTCCCGATGTGGCATGTGTGAAATACATATCGGCTGTCGATCCAGGTATCAGGCACCACCTCCTCATCCGCAACCATAGCTGCCTGGAAACGTATCACGGTGTCGACTGTGCGGCGGGTCGAGTAGCGGATTCCCAGTGCTGGCCTGCGTGCCTCCGCCACAAACGAGTTCGAGATCGAGTTTTTCGAGCCAATTGCTACCGGCGTCCCGACACCAGGCACATGCACCCGCTCACGCAGATCGGGCGGACGATCAGGCATCAGCCAGTGTGATGCTTCCCGAACCGGGCGCATCGACGACGCAGCTGTGCACACACACGATAGCAGCAAGGGACCAGCGGCGGAAGGAAACCGTGCTGGCCCAGACCTTTTGCGGCAAGTTGTTGCTGGCCACCGTGCCGAAGCCGTTGTTGAAGGTGGCCCATCACCGGACGCGGCCGAGGTGACCGAGGGCATTGTCGTAGTCCTGGTCCTGGTCGTAAGTCACGGCGCAAGCCTCCTGCGTGCAGTTTGCGTCTCTTCTGACATGTTTTGACGTTGCACAGTACAGCTCTTGCAGAGCCCTTTGTTGCACTGACGTCTGGCAGGCTGCTTGTCCACGGCGTCGTGGTCCTCTGCTGTTGGGGTTGCTGCTGTCTTCGATCGTTGCCTGCCTCAACAACCCCACTTCAGTAGCCGTAGCGTTATCCACAACATCCTCGGTGTAGCTGTTGCGGTTGCTAGTAGCTGCAGCTTTCTCTCCTGCTGCACGATAGCGTTTGTACGCTTCAGCCTCTCGCCTTCCCAATCCTCAGCGTCACTACTTCCTGCTCTCGTCCTTGACTTTGCCTCTGCAAATGTCATCTTCTTTGCTTCAGGATAGCAGACAAAGCCATGTGGGATTGTTACAATCTCGCAACACGGTGTCCTCTAATGCCTGCATAGATGCTGTCTTCTTTACTCGATTGTTTACTACGACAGGCCCTTCATCTTTGAGTCTGTACCAGATCTCCTCAGTTGCACCTCTGTACCAGATACGGTACCAAGAGTAAGGCGATGGTCTCTGAGGTGCTTGGGGTATTCATCACGTTGGTTTCCGGCTCCTTCAACCACGTTACCGGACAATTCCATGGCTCCAGCTGCTGGGGGACCCAAAGTGGATTCCAAGTGTCTTTCATTCTGAGGACTGTTCCCGTAGAGAGAAAATGGGCTGTTGCACCTGACATGTGCATACCTGTATTCACGCGGTCCTTGTAATTCATCAGGCGACATTGGGTGGGCTAGTTGCATCTCCTAAATCCAGCACATCTTCAAGGCCTTCCAATCCCCAAGCTACTCGTCCAGGAACCGGACCGGTACACGACTCTAGTACCGCTTCTGTAACCGTGCCATGGCCAGCAGCAATTCCTCGGGTCTTTGAGCTGGTTTGGGGCGCTTGTCTCAGTGCCAACCGGCTTCAAAGCGGTTGGTTGATGCTTCAAGTGCTACTGCTTTCGCTCTTTCAACTTCTATCGGCCCCGCCCAGACTTCTCTGTCCATCATCGCCATGCGTCCTGCGAAGGTTCTGCCACTTCGCCTTATCTGCTTTCCTAGAAGCGACGAACAGTGATCCCAAACAGGCGCGAAACTCGAGAACCCATACCGTTACCACAAGAGAGCCCGTATTGCTCTGGCCGCCGTATCGAACCGACCGGCAGCCAAAGCAAACTCAAGATACGTCCGGGTGAAGATCGGAAACGACTTGGACACAGTGCCGCCTGCATCAAGCATGATCAACAGTTCCATCGCACGCGGGACCACTTTGTTGCCCTTTGGTTGGCTGATACGAGACCCACGACGGCGCCCACTGACAACTCCCACTTCGAGATGTGGACCGTGCGTACGTCTGTACCTCGTGTCGAGGGAAGAGTTACGACTTGTGCGCTAGCCCGTCTATCTTCCCACCGAAACTCGCAGGTGTTTCGGCTAGAAACATAAGTTTCGCTATTGCTATCGTTCGGTCTGTCGGCTAAACGTCTTGTACCTGCAGCCAATCCGTATTGGCTGTCACGGACCCGGAAAGGTTTCCTTACAAAAGCCTCAGGCCCGGCTACTTTGCGGCGTGGCCCAACCAGCCGGGACATGCTGGAACTGGAGAGGGAACTGACAATCCCCGAGCAGATTTATTTTCAGAACAGGAAGATGTTCCGGGCCAGACCTGGAACGATAGGCCGCATCAGGGCGAGCTCTGGGAGAGTGCGGCTTTCGCGGCGTCGGGTCCCACCTGAACCCGGCTAGACCAGCAGGAGGTCGGAGGAGAGGATACGACGGCTACAGTTCGCGAACAGGATACAGCCTCCCCGACTGTCGGATCGGTCGGAGGAGAGGATACGACGGCTTCAGCTTCTCGATGTTTGGAAACCGGCAGAGGACCACGGAGGCAGGGCTATAGAGGGCCCTCCCAGTATCCACCGCCGAAAAAGGTGGCCAAGCTGCGTGCCTGGAGAGGCTTGGACGCCGGCTTGACCTTCCACGCTTTCTTCATGTGCGTGGATAGGCAACCGCATGCGGCTAACTACATCCAGCCGCTAGTACGCTAGCCTCCAAGTTTTCGGAGGCAGTGTGGATGGAGGAAAGAAAGCTGCCGGCGGTCTGTTCAGATGGATACATGAGCTAGAGCCGATATGGGAGGCCTGGGAGACACCTCAGTGAGGTGAGGCATCCGCGAAAAGCGGTGTCAGAGAGCGAGGTGCTAGCAAACCCGCCAGCCAAGGCTATGTGCATCCAGATGCAGAGGAGCCCTTGCTTGGTGTCGACCGACAGTGGCAACGCTCACAAGCCCGCCGGGACTCGATGGCTCGAACCGTCCTTTTCTCACAGCTCGCTGCTATGTCCTGGGGGCCCCTCTGGTCTCGGGCCTAAAAGCTTCGGGACCTGCCGGTCGCTTTGGAACCAAGCGCTAAAGACAACAGCTCAGGACGGCTGGGAACTTTCACAGCTCAGAAAGTTTTCTTTGGTTCCAGAAGGCTTGTGGCGAGTGAGTGTGCCCAAAGCCTTCTGCTGTCTTCGAAGTTCAACTTCTTGGGCCTCTGCCACAATGCTCCAGTGTCCCGTCGTTAAAAGCTTGAGAAGCGGCTCAAGGTTTCCTCCTACTTTCGTGAGAGGATCCACGATCATACGATTATGGATTATGGTCAATCCAGCGTATCGAGGCTCCTGCTTCTAGCAGAGTCTGCCTAATGATCTGCATCTCGATCGCAGTTCTGCGGTCAGACGTGTGTCCGCATGTTTCCTTAGACAGATGATCCTACAACGACTTAGCGTCAACAACAGCAAGGTTGCGGTCTTCATCCTCTCCTGGGATGACACACATCTTGCGATGCCGGAGAGTGGTTTCCCACTCTCTCAGATCAAAATTCGTGAGCATCAGTTCGTTGAACAACGTGACACACCATGTCAGATCACTAGGGCCGTAGACAAACTCATGCTCTCAGCAGCCAGCAGAATTCACAACCCTATGGATACGACCCGACTTCCAGTACAGCACGTTACAGTCCACAGTGTGACCCTGGTGAATCCCGACATCGAATGGCACGATGCAGTGACCCCCGTGAAATCCTCCCTCTCTCACGTTGGCGTAGCTCGCGTCCCTGACGACCCCGAAGCCGATCTTCTCCTCCGGAATGCCCTTGATCGTCACCGCCAGCTCTGCCGTGCCCTGCGTTCTTTCGACTGCTTTGTTCATCTCGCGCAGGTCTTTCACCTTGTGAGCTCTGGGATCCTGCTCGAGTGGATGCTGACTTCTCCCACCAGGCCTGGCCTTCCTTCACGGCCCAGCCAGTTCAGTGAGCCCAACACGGCCCTCGCTTGAGCCACCTCTGTCGCCGTCGCCGGCTCTTCGTTGAGCTTTCCCTCGATCACCACTGGGGACAGATGCTCCTCAATGAACTTCTGGAGGTCGTACGAAAAGTTGTAGTCGGTGTCCTGGCGCATGCGCCGGCCGTTGAAGCCAACTCCTCCTCGTTCTTCTTCGTCCTGGAGGAACTTGTATTTTTTGAAGGTGAATCTTTTCCTCAGCGTCAATCAATCTGCTGGTAGTGGACCTCGTTTCCCGCGGTCCACAAATCGTCGACTTCGACGATCACTATTCCCTGCACTTGGCCCTTCTCCTTGAGTAGGAACAAGGTGGGGTCGAGGGAAGACTGAACGTAGTGGAGCTCGTGCAGAACTTTCTTTAGACTCCGACGCCAGAGGGCTGGAGCGTCGTTTAAGCCGTAGGCGCCGGCAACTATTTCCAACAGTTGCCCTGGCTGGAGTCCCGGTAAACCGCCTTGAGGTTGTTTGGCGAACAACCGACCGCCAGCACGGTGTAAGGCCTCTGACTGACAAAACGCGTTCCGAAGATCTCCAACTGAAGCCCTCCACCGGCGAGACGCAGCCACTTGCACGGCTATGGCCAGAGTCAACGAACTCGCCGTGGGTGCATGCCGCTCTAGGCTGAACACATCAGGATCGAAATCCCCCCTGATGCATAGCCGCGACTTGGGAGCTGCTGGATCACCAGGAAGCTCTCCTGGTTTGTATTTTCGTACCATCTTCATGGGCAATAATATCCGATCCACTTTCCCACTCGCTTTCAGCTCCGTCACAAGCCCCTCCTGATCGCCGAGACTCGATGGCTCGAACCGTCCTTTTCTCACAGCTCGCTGCTATGTCCTGGGGGCCCCTCTGGTCTCGGGCTTAAAAGCTTCGGGACCTGCCGGTCGCTCTGGAACCAAGCGCTAAAGACAACAGCTCAGCACAGCTGGGAACTTTCACATTGGATAGGGATGTGGGTGGCGGGCCCCAAACGGACCACAGGCCGGCATCGATGTCGCTGGTTCATGGCGGCCTGGCTTCTGTGGCGCACCGATCTCGTCAGCACGTTCCACTGCGCTGAGGGCCTCTTCGCCGATGTCGTCGGCAAGCTTGCAGTCCGTCGTGCTTAAGTTGTGCTACTGCACTGCCATCACTGCCGAGTCGCGTGAAGGTACGTGGTGATGGTTGCTCGCCAAAGCAAAACTTGCAGACTCCTTCTTCCGCCGTACGAATATCGCCACGACGATCCTCGGAGAGATTTCTGTAAAGATGCGAGGGACAGATTTAGCAGATTTCGAAGTCGATATCGCAAACGTCACCACAGCTTTGAAAACAGTTGGAGAAAGAAGGTGTGTCAAAAGAATATAAAAGAATGGTGAGATTCACTGGAATAACGCATGTCGCCGTGTGGTTCATTGGTGCACGAAGTGACGACGAATAGCTTCTTGTGCTGTTGACCGAACGACTGCTTGAAATTGAACATGTCATTCTCAAGGTTCGTGGCTATCTTGACGAATGATTCTTGTTCTTCCTTTCACGCCCACTTTTGTCACGATTTCATTTCCTCTGCTTTCAGTCTGCGAAGACCGATCGGGAAACAGACGTTCCTCACAAGTTTCGGAGACATTTTTGTAATATATGTGGAATGAAGCAAATATCGCAGACTTCGCCACCGCTGTGAAAGCAGTTGGAAAAACAATCTGCGCTCAAGAGGGATCTATGACTTTCGCTCGAATAGTGTGTGTGTTGTCAGCGGATGGCACATTGGAAAACCGAATCCTTTTTGAGTGGCATAAACTTCGGGCCGTTCAATGACATGTAGTTTTTCGCTGCCGCCGCACGTGGCCACCAAGCGCCACGTTGTTTTCTGCAATCATTGGCTTCGTAACCTGTTCCAACAACTTCCATTCCTTGCTTAGCATGCCTGCCGGCTAACAACACTGCCCAGCATGTGGTGTTGCCGGAGAGGCGAAGTCCAATGCAGCGAACGCGCTGCTCCTGTCGAAGGCTTGGCAATGCAAGTAATCCGGAGGCAACAGCATCAAACTTCGCAAATACAGACAAACTGAAAAACGTCTACTTCACGTCTCGAAGGACGCAACCCATGTTGATATCAAAAATCGCTTTGGCATCGATAGTGGCTGCTAGGTTGCAGCGCACAGGAAACAGGTCTGAGCCTGAAGGAGCTTGTATTGTCAGGATGTGGGGTGGACTGGGGAGTTGAGTCCAGTTTACGTCGAACAACTTTCCCATTAATCAATTAATCCTCGCCGTATTTCACACGGCAGACCCACCGCATCTAAGAATCTAGACGCATGCTGTTTGTCAGTTATGACCGAAGCAGCTGCTTTTTGGGCAGGAATTGGAGACATTCCTTGCGGAACTTTCGAGGGAAGTGCCTGATCCTGCGATGCAGGGACGCAGGTCATTCGTGGTGTTTTTGCATAGATGGTGGCCGGTGCTTTCGTTCTTGTTCAGGGTTGGCAATGTCGGTAAAAAGTCTCCTCTCCAGCTTTCAATTCCGAGCCTTTGTCAATGGCTGCATATGTACGCTGCGACCAGCTTACTGTAGGGAGTGGCTGCTAGCCGCAGCGGAGGTTTGAACAACAGCTTCTGGCTTTTATTTCCGCTTGGGTTTGAAGGACGATCGACAGCGCCAACGGCGCGCAGCCACAGCCATGGTCCGAACAGGTCCTTCACAGGAGACTTGTACGGAAAGAGAGGCCAACAGTGGATCAAGTAGCTGAGCTTGAGGGATTCACCACTCAGTTGCCGGCTTCCTTGAGGGGCAGCGGACTTGCGGGTATCCGCGGGTCAACCACCTTAAGTAAGACCTCGGTGCATGCCAAGAAATTTCAGCAGCCCTCCAGCGAAGTGTCAGATTCAGAGCCCCTGCCATTTGCCGTTTATGCCTTTCCCTCGACTGATGGCTTGAGAATGATTGCTGAACGAGAGAAAAATCATGTCATAGCTTTGGGGCGGACTTGGCGCATCCGGGCTGTTAGGTTCTAGTTTTGGCATCCAACGAACCGTCTGGGCAAAGTGTCACTGGCCGTACAGTGCTACACTACCTCGTAATCTCACGTTTTTTTTTGTGAGTTGGTTGCGGTATCTATGACTGTGACAGACCCCCTCCATCGATATCAGTCACAATCCAGCTGGCATGGGTACCTTGGCTTTGGTGGCCTGAGATTTTGTCTTTGCTCAGTCTTCCTAGGCTGTTGCGCGAGCTCTTGCAGAGCCTTGGCTATTTAGGCAGCTCCAGACTGAACTGTAGGGAACTTTTGTAGCTGTGGCGGGTGACCGACTTCAGCACCTCTGCTTGCCAATAGGCGCATGCCGCACAACTGTTTCTTGGGCCGACATGACTGAGGAGAAACCCCAATCAGGACGACATCATCTACACCTTCGAGGATTGTTTGCCCGCGGTGCACGCGAAAGCAGGATTTCAAAGCCCTTGAGCCTTCGGAGCCAGGAGTTGGATGAAGGCTTCGTTTGCTCCATGCGCCTCCCCGTTCTGGAGCGTCTTCCGGCTTGCAAAGGCAAGCCGGCACCCTCCAGGCGACTCACATTATTGCGTGGGCTGTAGCTGTAATGCGGCAGCACCTGATGGAAAGGTTTCTCGTCTTGGCTGCAGGAAACAGGCCAAGCAGTTTGCCGCGGACGAACTTGTCAGCTGCATCTTAAGCTCCTGACACGTTCGGCTGCCTGTCCGCATGCTGCCTGACTCCAGAGCTTGTTCGAGCTTGCACATGACTGCTGCTTACTGTTTGGGAGGGCTTCCAGCAGCGGCCGAGCACCCCAGGGTTGAACTTGCGATGCTGGTTTTGCAAGTCGGCAGGGCGCATGACGCCCCGCAGCATCTCAGGTTCACTGAACGGGCAACCACAGCTGCAAGACGCTGCGATGCTGTGGAAAAGCTTGCTGGGTTCGTGTCTCATGGCTCGTGGCCAAGCTCTTGCTTGTGAGTGTTCAGCCCGGAAGTATTGAAAGCATCTCTTTGCAGGAGCAACGTCGGCTGGATTTGCGAGTTAAGTTCCCATCGCAGGCGCCCCAACGCGGGAGCTTCGTTCCCATTGCTCCGAGCTTTGCTTTTTGTGTCTTGGCTTCGAAGCTTGATCCGGTCAGGGGCCTGCCGTGATCAATTTGAAGTCTTTTGGGAACGGTCATGGGTTCATGTGAAACGTGTCTACACCTTGTTTGCTGCAACAGAGCGTGCCGAGACAGTGCACAGTTATTCTAGATGCTTGAGGTCAGAAATGCGAGGGCGGGACGAGTGATTGTTGTCGTCGCGCCGGGTGTCCCGGCGACTGCTTGCTCAGTGCGGAAGCCACGGCAGCTACATTAGGGTACCCCGACAGTTTCAGAAGAGCTACAGGACAGATGATGCTGTTCCAGGTGTCGCAATGTGGACCTTGTGATGCTGGTGACAGAGAGGAACAGTGTTCGCCTTTTCACGCTGACAGCATGAGATGTGATGGCGAATGGAATTGTGTCTTCAGGTTTTTTGGGGAGCTCATAGGGGGTTCAAGAGAACAGCCAGGCCACACGTATCGCGTCGGCGGCAGAGGCCTTCTCGCAGCGTCCACAGCCCAGATGCAACAGATGGGCACGGAAAGATGGAGTCCAGCCTTGGGGATTCAGAGAAAAAGATCCTGCGGCGAGTCCACTTCGGAAACTATGGAAGCGATGAGGAGACAGGGTAGATGGAGCAGATCGTGAGGTTCGATGTGGAATTGTTGGGGGTTGCAGCTCGGATTTCGGGTGCTGATGCGAATTCGTTCTCTTTGGCACGAACGGACACAGATCGGCAATATCACTTCAAACACGCACACACACACACACACACGCACGCATACACACGCACACTCCACAACAACAAGCAGAAAATCACCACAAGTGGTTGGTTGGTGTTCGGTTGGTCGATAGCCGGAAGGTGGTGTCCAGGGATGCTCATCGTTTGCCATCTGGTCTTTCTGCGGCTGGCACGAAAGGCAGCATTTAGCTGGCCCTGTGTGCGGTTCCATTGCGGTTCTGACGACCGGATGCGGGAAGATCGGGTGGGGGGTGCCTCGCGGTTGACCGTGTTGGAGTGCCTTCCAGCGACCTGGGGACGGTTAGTGTGGACCTCTTTCTTGGCAGCGCCCTTTGGGGAAGCAATTCCATGGCCGACCCTTCTGGGAGAGCCCTCTGGTTTGGCTTCCATGGCCCGTCCATGATCGAGAGCGCCGAGAGGCCGGACACGCGACCCAGAACCAGCGAGGATGAGCGAGGCTTCACGGTGAGTGAGCTTGGCATACCTCTCGAGAGTGTCTTGGTCATGCTTTGGCAGGCACCGCTGGGCCCGGTGGGTTTGTTCGTGGTTTCGGTTTCGGTGGTCAAACTCAAACCTTCCACATGACCGCAGCAGCAAGAAAAACCACAACACGCCAATAAGTTACAAATCAACACAGGCGGTTAACTGGAGCCGCGAACAACACCAACATCAAAAGCCACAGACACACACACACACACACAACGAAGACTACACACGTCATCCAATTCTTCAACGCCGTCAGTGCGGTGTTGCCTGTGCTTGCACTGTTGTGCCATCTTATTTATTGAGTTGGAGGTGTTAGTTAGAGGTGTCGCTTGAGGCTGTTTCTGAGGACGTCAGGTGTTTGTGCAGTTGCTGCTGATGCTGTGTTCCATGTGTTTGTGTCGTGGTGCTCGGGGAGTGTCGTAGCTGTGATGTTGGATGTCCAAGGATATTGTCCATGCTTGTTTGTCCGAGCTGAGAGTGTTGGAGGTGTGGTTGCGATGGTGTCATCCGTGAGGTCGTCTGGAGTTCTTCGATTAGCTGCAATGTCTGGTGATTTTGGCTGTGTCGACATCACAGCTGTAGGTTTTGATGATGGGAATGTGGATTGTGTTTGCGGAGAGTGTTGGGTGATGTTGCTGGGTTGGTGACGTGGGAGGCATAGATTGGTCGCGACATGTTGTGGCTAACGGATGGTGCTAAACCCGAACGTGCTTGCAAGTTTGCTTGCTGGTTCTTGATTGTCTTCGTCCGTGATGTTGGTTGGCCATGTTGGGAATGCTGCTCGTCTTCCGCGAATGCACGACCCAAACTCAATTTCAAACGCTTTCGGGTTCGGCGACAGCCGCTAGCCAGACGAACGACATCGGCTAACCCGGCAACAAATCCCAAAATGGTTCAGCCTCACAAATCAGAATCATCACCAATTCCATGGACGGAATTCATGCTGACTTCCACTCCGCTTCACCAACACACCGACGTCATCGACAAACCCGACACACCCCCGAGCATCAACTCAAGCCGTACAATCGCCACCCAAACTCCCATTGTCAAGACCGGCAGCCTGCACCTCCAACGCTGCCAGCACAGCAGCAAGCACGCAGCCAAAATCCCAACAGTAGACAACCCACATCCCGACAGTTGCCAACATCATAGACGAAGAACTCCACAACGACATCAACCGAACTAGACACCGTGTTCGTGTTTGTTTTGAGACACACTGATCACACCGTCATGTCCAGACCTCCAAATGTCGCCCGACAGAAGCAAGAAGCATGGAGAACATCCCCAAACATGTGCAAATTTGACACCCCACCGCCCAACAAACAGCGAACAGCAGCGACAACAACAACAGCAGCAACAGCAACAGCATTCAGTTAGTTAAGTAGCAGCAGCAGCAGCAACAACAACAACAAGGTAGCATGTGCGTTTGCCGCCGCGCTGGGTGTGTCGTTTGTTTTTGTTGAGGGTTGTTTGGTCAAAAGCCTGAAAACCTCCAGTTTTGTGTGGTTTTCGTGAACAAGACGATGTTTCGGAGCTTGTTCTTCATAGTAGTGTTGGTCTTATTTGTTGGTGAGGCTTTTGCGAAAGTGTCGCAAATACCGTGCCGTTAGTCTTTTTTTTGTAGCTTTTTGTTTGGAGTTAGTTGCGAAGATTTTGTCTAGAAAGCCTACCAACATACAACAACATCAACAACCGACCGACACAGCAATAAGCATAGAGAACGAACCTAGAGTCCAACAAAGCACTCCACAAACACCACCCGAACTAGCAACATCTGGCAACCGCTCTCAGGTTCAGCGACAACCCCACTGATCACAGCATCGCGGCCACACCTCCACAGCCAACTCACCAACATCCCAGCACAAGCAACAAGCTTTGAACATCCGCGAGCATCCACGAGCTTCCACGAGCACCACCACCTCACAAACAACGAACGGCAGCAATAACAACAGCATCAACACGGAAACAACACAGCAAACCAACAATGCTTGAGACCATCCTACAAGCAAGGACAGTCACTACTTTATACAACCTATGTGAGAGTCAAATTACAGGGCATTGCGTAACCACAGACCATGCACATCCCAAATTTCCATCATGTACAATTCCACACGAGTACCACCAACACAGCCAACATCATCCGACACAGCAACAAGCGTAGACAACGGCCCAACACGACCAGCACACGGACAAAAGCACTCTACAAATACACCACCCCCAACAACCACTCTCGAGTTCAGCAACCCCACTGGTTCAATTTTAGGGGTTAGGGTTTGTTTGGCTTACCAGGGAGCCGGCGAATCTCGAACCACACACCAGAAGACCGAGCATTCCAATCAAATGCCAGGGCCAAACAAAGCGTCCGCTCCGGCATCTGACTGAGGGCTGAAAGGTTTGGTTTAAGGTGGGTTCAGGGTTTGTTTGGCAGTTTTAAGGTGATTTGGCTTTATCAGGGTTTTAAGAAAGTTTTTCACGAAAAAAGTTAGGGTTCGGGGTTGGTTTAAGGTTTGTGGGATTGCTCAACAAAGACAAGCAAAGATGACCGAAGAATGAGTGGTTCGTTCCTCTTTTGTTTCATTCATTTCTTCGTTCGATTTCTTTGTTTTTCATTTAACACAAAAAATTCACTTCATAGTTGACTGCGTTCATTTTTCCTTTTTTGATTCAAATATTCATCGAGTATATTGTAGGGTTCAGATATCTGGGGTTTAGGGATAAGGTTTTTTAGGGGTTTGTTTTAGGGTTTAGTTTAGGGTTTATAGGGTTTAGGGTTTAAAGGTTTAGGGTTTTTAGGGTTTAGGGTTTAGGTTTTAGGGTTTAGCGTTTAGGGTTTGGGGTTTAGGGTTGGGTTTAGGGTTTAGGGTAAGGGTTTAGGGTTTAGGGTTTAGGGTTTAGGGTTTAGGGTTTAGGGTTTAGGGGTTTAGGGTTTAGGGTTTAGGGTTTAGGGTTTAAGGGTTTAGGGTTTAGGGTTTAGGGTGTGTCGACCAAACTATTGCGGTAAAAAGAATGTAGGACGGACGTCAGAGTTTTTTTGCGTAAGAGAGTTCGTCACGTCCGTGGACTTCGATATAGATCCCACCACAACCCACCCGGAGCATTTGTCCTTAGCTTAAGTCCTTAACGTCCAAACACGGAGAAATAACCATGCAGTCAGCGTACGCTGACAGGACTGAATCGCTCTTGAACGAGCGAAAACGGGTTTCAAATCACATGCAGTACAAAGCCACGATGCTTGTATCGATTTCACACACCTGAGAATAAGTGAAAAACATGGCGTTTCTCCACCTTTGCGCCGCAAGGCTATGATGTTGTACGATCGCCTAAACAGATAGAAGAATATGTTCCGTCTGCGTATGCAACGTTTCCAGAAAACAAAACAAAGAAGGCATCGCC